GCCAAGATCTAAGGCCAGGTCCTAAGATGTGGTTGCTACTCTGAGAGAAGTTTGGGTGGCAAACTGCCTCCAGTCCCCATCACCCGGGGCAGGGGGGAGGAGGGAAAAGGCTGCAGGCGAAGTCCCAGGCCAGGCTGCTCCCAGAACAGCTTTGATCTGGGGCTGCAGCCCCCCCGGCAGGGCCACTTAGTCAGGTCACATAGCCAGGTGTCACATAGCCAGGAGCCGCAAGCCCAGCCAGGGCTGCCTCCACAAGCAACCTTCAAACCCACCCTGCAGAGCCTGCATCACAAAGCCCACTCCAAGCTGAGAAAGGGCTCATTTTTCCAGCACACCCAGAAGGAAACAAAAAAACCCACCCAGTTTCAAAATGAAAGCAGGAAATCCTTTCTGCCTTTATGCAAATAGTCAGACAAGTGTTTTCCCATGTGTTTATTTAGCTGTGCCCCCCTCCCCCCTCTTTCCCGGTCCGTCCTCCACACGCTTCTCCTTTGCAGATGCTGCACAGCGCTGTAGTTTTTGTCCCCGGCAAGCAGCAAGTGCAAAAGAACCCGGTCCCCGTCCTCCCCATGTACGGCCTCTCACCAGCACCCCCACCGCAGCCAAGGCACAACCCCTGTGCGACACGTTGCATCTCCCTGATGCTGCAGCACTCTGCAAACCCCAGGGTCTTTGTCTGGGCACAAAGCCCCCATGGTGGCCACGCAGGCAGGGGGAGGGGAGCTCCCCCTTCCCAGAGCCAGCCACAGTCATGCAGGCACCGCCATGCTCCTACAAACCACTTTAAAGCCAACCCTCTGCATTTCCACCAGGGAAAGTGTGTGGGGCTGCTGCTGGGGAGCTTTTAAAACCCATCTTGCACAAAGAACACAAAAGGAGCTTACATTCCCGCAAGAGCTTTTTCCCCTGACAAATTTGCAAAGCCTCCCATAACCGCACAACCTGCTTCTTTCTCATGCGTTTTGGTATTTCTGCTTTCAATAATTTATAACAAAAGAACCGAGACATCAACAGATATGGGGAAAGCGAAAACAGCCCTGACCCAAAATAGGAAAGAAGAACTGCCAGCCATTTTAGATGAGTTTTTAATCTCCCACAGAACAAGGCTGTCAGGGCTCAGATATAGCCTTGCTGATGGCCATTTCCAGGAACACTTTATTCTCTTCTACAGCAAGGAGGAGGCAGGAGGTTTTCTCTATCTGATCAGAGAGGTCTTTTCCAGCCTCCTGCCTACAGACCCTCCTGCCTGCAGGGAAAAGCAGGGCAGCACCTGGGCCCCCTTCAGCCGCCGCTGCCAGGCTGTGAGCCAGCCCCCCCATACTCTGCAAGGCCAGTTTACTTTTTCCTGCTCATTTTTAACCCCAGCCTCCTGCCATGACCCTTTCCTTCCCCCAGGGCAGGAGCACAGAGCCCCAGGAAGGCAATCTGCACACTTGGGCTGTTGTCTTACACCAGGGCTCATTCTTCCTGTGGATTTTGCTGCTCCTTGCAGTTTACAGAAGGGCTTTCTGTTAACCCTTACTGCTTTCCCATTGCCCAACAGCAGCAAGGCAAGCTGCTGCTTTCTCCAGATCACAGAAATACGAACTCTAGGAGATGAGAAATCATCTGTACGCTAGTAAGGCACAGGGAGAAGCAGCAGGACAGAGCTGCTGGTGAGAGCAATTTGAGAGGTGTCTTGTCTTGCTCCAAACAGCGAACCACTCCTGCTGCCTGCAAGGCACAAATGGTAAGCCCAGCTTTCACAGTGGCTTAAGGCATCCCCACCCTGTGCATTAGCTTCAGCTACCCAGGCAGGTGAGCTGCACTAAGATGCAGAACTTTTAATTGATGTGTTCCCTTCTGCTGCTGCTTTTAGAGCAGGCAGCAGACAGACATGAGATGGCTGCTGGCACCAGTAGCAGCATCTGCACACCTACAGCCACACTCCACCGGTGTCTGAGGCACAGTGAGCTGCTGTAGCTCTGTCTTGCTCTTCCAGCTCTCCAACTACCAAAGCACACCAAATTACTCACTTGGGATTTTCTCCTGAGGAAGTAATTACTTGCTTTCTATGGTATTTCTTCAGCAGCTCTGAAGAAAGCCTGAGAAGACACCACACAATTCACCTCCAGAGCAATCTGCATGCTCTATATTCCCTCCAGCAGCTCTCCAGAACAGGCTGGAGAATCACCTCCACTACAGCAGGTAGCTCAAGACAGCACAAGCACTTCATGATGCTGCTGGAGCTGAACTTGCCTGGACTAAGGGATGAGCATCCCTGCATCACTCCCAAACTTGGAAGACATTGGAGAAACTTGGCCTTCTGCCATTCACACTTCAGAGACTGGTTTCTTCCCAGCCCACGCTGCAGTGAAGGGACATCCTTTCCACAGCTGCCTGGTACTACATCCATGACTGTCCTGGACAGGCAGAAGAGTGCTTTAATTCTACTACATGCATGTGTTAAAGGCAGCTGTACTTGCTCTAATAGCACAATGGTCACTTCTTGTCAGTCAGTCACAACCTGCCTACAAATCGGCTCAGTAATTAGAAAGTATTTGTTTTTAAATTAGGGAAGGAACTTTGGTAAAGTGTCCAGCCCTCCTGATCTGAAGGAGGTTTCCAGAGCAGAAGAGCTTTACCTCTCTGGGACAGTTCTCATACCCTGTGTATCATCCTTTTAAGAGCTACAGTGCTGTCATACAGCATTTTAAGTCTGTGCCCTCCCCATCTCCAACTCCCAGGTTTTATTAAAGTAACTAAGAAAAACCGTATATACACACTAATAGCAGTGGTCACATTTGTACAATTTTCTGTCTGTAAAGCTTATGTTCTGTTTCTTCTCTAAGGAAGGTGAAGTCTGCTACATCACCCCCTCACACTATTTGAGGGGGGAAAAAAAAAAAATCAGTTCACTTACTCATTGACCACTACTGAAATACATTTTAACAGATGAATGACAGTGCTCCTCAGCAGAAGTCTACCTGAAGCCATGGTTGTGTTTTCCTGAAGCAATGTTCAACCTAGACCTGGAAGTCTACTTTAAGGCCAAAGACCTTTCTCTAGACCTGTCATCTCATCCTTCTGACTTCATTTATACTTTCCCAGTCTACAATACACAGTGAGAAAGGATCACGGTTTAGTTAGAACAAGTGCTTCTCAGGACATAATCCTGCTGCCTCTGATAATTAGCTTTGTGCAAGATACTTAGCAGTTCTTCATCCATACTTGCTAAACTATTCAGGCTTTCCCCTACCTGAACATTATGTGAACAGAACTGCTCAGATACATAATTGAACAGTACAGAAGAAACCGCACTACCACCTCTAACCATTAAGTCTAGGAAAACAGATAGAGACAAAAGGCATTACTCACTAAGAAGTAGCTTGGTTCCAAGCTTTTTCTTCCATGCAATGTGAGTACAGCCAAACTGAACGTCAGTCAGCCCCACTGCAAGAGGCTTAAACGAGATGACCTTCCAAGGTCCCTTCCAAATAACATTACTCCATGATTTACCTTGCAAATGATCCAACTCAGAAGATGCACATCACCTTTGTAAGGTTTTCAGAAGCATTTATAGGCAGAGGCCATGTTTTTTAAATAAAAGTTTAATTCCTTCATCAGGTCTTAAGTTTAAACACAAACGCTGCTGAAAATCCTCAGACCGCTGCTCCGATGTCCTGGCTCTTGGCTTTCAGGGCACTGGCGGTGCGGCAGCAGGGGCTCCAATACAGGAGGCAGGAATCAGACTCTTGGTAGAGCTCAGTGCAGGATGCAAAGCAAAGAAGCAAGAGACACACACTTTCCAGACAAACACCAATTCTTATACAAAAAGAAAAACCCTACACTGTAATAGAAGTGTTAATGTTGCCACAGGACAGGAGTTCTAGGAAGGGAGAGAAGTCTTCAGCAAAAGGCACAACTAAAGAAGTACTTCCCTGGATCTTAACCAAGTCTGTTAGTTCCACTTATACCCCCAGTCCCTTGCCTCTCAAAGCCATGCTGGTTACTCTAGCAAGTAATTTCAAGTTCCTTTTCCCTTTTTCCCTTCCTTCAGCTCAAAAACAAATAAAAGAGGAGTGCTTCTAAAAACCAGAGCATAAACCAGCTTGGTCTATAACCCCGTAAGAGTCCAGGAGAGACTTAAAAGTTTACCTTAGGATTGTCTGGTACAGTTACTAAGTATTCAAGTTTCAGATGATACTTATTACACCCGGGAGCCTCAGTCAGCTCTAGTTTTGGTATTTTTCTTTCAGGCACTTTGCTGCCTGTCAGGTTGGTGTTAGATCTACAGTTTTCCCAGTACTGTGTATCACCAGCCTCCTCAACCCATTGCCTTAAGCACTTATTAGCAGCATCAGACCCACTCCAGGGGCTTCTTCAGGTCTTATAGCCCTCCAACCTCCTATGCTCCTTGGTTTAAGATCTTTTGCAAGGAGCAACTTTGAATGCAAGGCAGACAGTGACTAGGACAAGCAACCAGAATGTGTCAGTAATTTACAGGACAACAGGATTGCATGCAATGAGGGGCTAAGACAGCTGGACACAAAGCTGTTACGTATTAGGTCACCCCAAACATCTGAGCAGGCACTTGCTAGATGCAACAAACAAGCTACTATGGGATAAAGAGGCTCGGTTCACTGGCGTACTGGTAGAAAAAGGATCAAGGATTTGCAGAGGAAGTCAAGGTGCAGCTATAGTACATGACAGCAGTCCTCCAGTCACTAGCAAGGCTAACACTAAGCTGTGAAATTGAGGAACTGGTTTTAGCCTACACTAGAATCTAAAGCACACAACCACCATGAGGGAGGAGAATGCTTGTCCAGGATGCACCTTCACCACTAAGTTAACATAGCAAGGCAGTACTACACAGACTATTATGCTCTCACCTTCACTTTGCTGTGTAGCATGCTAAAGGACATTTAATTTCATCAATAATTAAGATGAATTTGAGTTTGCAAACTACGCTGATCTCCTTTCATGGGAGGAAGCTGTAGCAGAACCACCTCCCAGGTGTCCCCCAGGGCTTCACCTAGGGTCAAGCTTGGCCAAGATACAAGCCTTCCCCATTGCTCTTCAAGGGCTTCTCTCAGGTATAGAGTGGTAAGACAGCCAGCAGTCTCTCAGGCTCTTGCTGTAGATCCACATCAACATGTCCTAGGGAGCTCTACTTCCCAAACAGTTTAGGGTGCGCATGCCAGATCATCTAACCCTGCCCACAGACAAACCCTCTCCACCCCCACCCCCCCAAAATAATTGTGGCAATTAGCCATGTGTCAGTCCCGCTCTCCACAGATCTGCAGAATTGAGTCAATAACTACTGATGAACCCCAATGCACAGGGTTGCTGGTGGAGTTGGAGTGTTACAGAGATGAGCTTCCTCCCTCCAGCCTCCCAGTGTTGGGATCAGAGTCAGTAAGCCTGACTTAAGCAGGAGGAGCTGTGGAGAACTGCACTGGAACAAGCAGAGTCTTCTACTGAACTTTACAACAAGCTGAACAACTTTTGGTTTTAAAAAAAGCCACACAAGCAGCAGCTGACATCTGTTGTTATAAAGGGACATGGCTGAATAGGTAGGAGACAGATTCCCCATTATGAGTCCTCCTGATGGCCTCTGCAAGGATCATTGAGATGTCAATCACCTGGAGAGGAAGAAAGATGCATCAGTGTCACTGAAAAAGAGACATCAAGCCTAGAAGAACAACTGGTGAGTTAGGAAGACCTTAAAGAGTAAACACATCACCCAGACTTAGAACATGACAGATGCAGACAAATGAGTTCTACCCAGGACTGGGATTTAATTACATATAATTCTGAAGATATTCTACACTTAGCAGTACAATAACTATTTCACTGTTGATCTTTGTCAGGATGACAGTCAACTGTCACCTTTCTTTGCTAAGACTACCTAAGCTCAGTCTGTTTACCCTAGGATTATCTTATTCACTTTTCATAAATTGCAGAGAAGTTAGGGGAGTCTAAATCAAGAATCAGATCGCTTGCCTTGAGACAAGAGGCTTTACCATCACTGCTAGCAGTCTAAGAAAGATGAAGCTACTGTGCCGCAGCCCAGCTCCCAGTCACTGGGCTGGCTCCACCTGGTGGGGTAATCCAGCTAAGAGAAGGGAAAATCAAGTCTCAATAAAAACTCTAGCTCTGAACACCAGCAGCTAAAGCATTTCGATATAAGTAATCTCAGTAACAAGTCATGTTCATGGTGCCTTAAGGAAATGAAGTTAAATCCATATTTAACATTTTCTTTTTTCCGGACAGTTTGCCTCCTAAGGAATGAAAAAAAAAAACTTCAGAGCTGTAGAGCAGACAGAGCATGAGACTTATGACAAATCCTTTAGTTTTGTATTTCTCAACACTGAACATCAGACGTTAGTCTAAGAGTGAGGTGTTAAGTGACAGCCTGAAAAACTACTCCACTGCCATCTTTGGCTACGGCTATTTACGTACTGATTACCAGTTTAACATTTTGTCTACATTAACTGTAATGTGCAGCTTGGACAGAAGTTGAAGCATCAGACATCTTTTAGATGTGCCCAGTTGCAGGAGTACCATCTAAAAGTTAGTGCTGAAAAAGATGCAACCCAACAGCAATTTGCAATCAGCTTATAACTTAGTTCCAAAAGCAGCTTAAAATTCACTGCAGTCTCAACCAGTTGAACTTCCTTTTCACCAGAACCGCAGTACTGGGGAACGTGATACACTTACAACACAGTACTAGCTGAATCTTAGCAGTGCCATTCACTTTCCAGAACTTCTCCAAATGCCTGTGTCCTGTATATCCATGCTGTGAAGCTAGTATTTAGGATGTTCTTGGCTGTGTGCATGCTATAGCAGTACCTGAAACTTCTGATGGACCTATTATGCCTGAATGCTCAGGTAAAGCTGCAACTTCCAGCTGTCCATTAACACAGGAAATCCTCAAGTTCTGCCTAGCTCAAGTTGTACGGCCAATTTTTTTTCTTCCAGGAAAATCAGCCTCAGCTTGGGAAACAAAACCCAAGACAGTGAGCATCAAAAGACCAGCTTTTGGCTTTCATATGGTTGGCAAAGTGTTTTTGTTTATCTTTGGCAATTACCTGAACATTGTACTGTGGAGCTGTGTCAACTGCTCTTAATAAAACGAGCAAGGCATGTCCATGGGACAAGATTGCTCTCACTCTTCAGCTCACCTGCACTGCTGTTATGACCAGACATGAAGCATTCAACTTCCTTTTGTGAAGCAAAGTAGGTCGGGGAAGGGACACTCTACTTCAAGGGCTGAGCATTAGGTGATAGATACACAACTGAGGCTGGCATTACCAACTTCAGAAGCTCCTATCTACTTCCGTTTCGGTATGACATTTCATCAGCATATCACTCCTCCAGTACAGATACAACTACTTGCTTACATCATGGCCCCAGCAGATCAGTGATCTGATGTAGGTAAAACAAGCCCTGAAAAAAAAATTACTTAAATGAGCTGTTTAAGACGAGCTGGATTAGAAGCTGCATTTTATCAGTGTAACAGGAACAAGAGAACTAGTCAACCCTGCCACTAATTCCAGTACCAATGAAACTGCTGTAAGCACTAGACAGCATTGTGCAGTTTTCCACACCAATAGGAAGACATACAAGTGCTACCAAGCCCCAGGAGTGACGGAAGACATAGATGCTTACCTGGATTTTAGGGCATTGCTTCATCTTGTCCTCCTGGGGTATTGTGTTTGTGACTACAACTGCCTCAAAACAGGCATTGTTGATCCGAGAAATTGCTGGCCCAGAAAAGATCCCATGAGTTAAGATGGCATAAACTTTGGTGGCTCCAGCTGACACAAGCCTACAAGGGCAGAAAAAGGAAAAGGATGAGAAATTCTTAGGCAAGTATTAAACTGACATTAGTGCAGGGCACATGGTAAGCATGAAAGGAGACAATACCATCTGCTTAGGGGACAGGCTACCTTTGATTCCCCCCTCCAGTCCACTATTGATTTTGGAGAAGAAAACAGTTTAACAGGTACTATAAAATCCACGACAGGCAAAGTATACATTAAAAAAAAAAAATTGTTCTTAGCCCCGGGACATTTGGACTAGATCATTCAAATCACCGTCTGTGACTTCTGCCAACACAAGGTAGCAGATATTTAATACCGAGTGTTGTATATGCTGGTGTTTCTAGTGTAGAAGGCTTGAAAGATATCAAAGCTTGAAAAGCTTCCTTCTAACAGAAATTCAGATGTGTGACCTTAAGTTGATGGACCAGACAGCACTTAGTTCTACCTAGCACAGTCAGTGATGGTCTCGAGGAAGACATACTTTCAACACAAGCATTTTTCACATAAAAGACACTATGGTCTTCTAGCTATTCCCACTGTGAGAACTAAACTAGGTTTCTTCCTTATTTTGTATGACATGAGATAAATAATCAAGAAACTGTATGTTACTTTCTGAAACTTGACATGCAACTAATCTGATTAAGTCATTACATAGTGTTCACTAACAATAGGTTTCTGATTTAGGAAAGAATCAGTCAGCCCTACTCACTTGTCCGCAGCATGACAGATGGTACCACATGTGTCTGCCATATCGTCTACCAGAATGGCCACTCTGTCTTTCACATCACCCACCAGCACCATGCGATCCACTTCGTTGGCCTTCTTGCGCTCCTTGTGAATGAGGGCAAAGTCTACATTCAATCGATCCGCAATGGAGGTCACTCTGAAGAGAGAAGAGTTTCCAAACAACACTTAACTCCACACAACAGCTTCAATGGAATCTCTTTTAAAACAGTTAAGCACAAACTGCCACTGCAGTAAGAGAAGCTGTCACCACATCTGTTACTGCTCCCAAGCAATTAACAGAAGACACTCTGCCACCTTTGTTTCCCTTCAAGCAGTTAAACTGGGATCTCTGATCTAATCTCTCCCAATGACAGCAACTAAATTAAGATAAGAGAGTCTTTCCTCCTGACCACTGTAAATTAATTTGCATTTAAAGCTCAAAACAAACCTTAACCAGCGAGTTTGGCAAACCTGAAGTGACCAGAATGCTTTGGAAATTGTCACCTTAAGCCTTTCCAGTGTACTGTTATAAAGTTGTGCAATGACAGGGATCTAACTGCACTCGTAAGTATTCAGTAGTCATGTATACAAGTGCTGGCACAAGGACAGTGGCAGGAGTACACATCCAAAAAATGCAAGTCCACCACCTCACATTTACTTTGGTTAAAGTGGCCACAGAACAACCTTACTAGAGAGACCTAAACTTTATATATTGCTACTGATGAATAGTAAAGTGTTTAAAAGCATTAAGAGTAAGAAGGAACAAAATACACATGCCTCAAATTCTACACTTGAGATGAGCAGACTACTAGCCTCAGTAGATCAGACTCATGACCCTGGTGTCTTACACAAGATTGCTGAACTAAACTGTTCAAAGGATTTAGTTCTCCATAAAATATTGCACCAGCTAAGATCGACACATTTCAGTTTAAGTGGCTTTTGAAGAGGTTTCTTCAGGCGTCAGATTATAGCTGGCTGACTTGGCATTTCATATACTGCATTATGCAACAAGCTACAGAAGTAGCTGAATACACAGAAGGTCTTGTCCAATACATGGGTCACAACAAAGCTACAGGAAGACACACAGTGACAGCAGTAGTAGCTCTTGGCTCTTTGTAACAAATAGCTTAAAACACTCTGAAGTATGTGAATCAGGTCAGCACACATAAACATTTTGGTGTGACAGTCCTGGATTAAAGAATACATCTGCATCCCTTTGCTGTTCACATGTAGCACCAAGGAACAGCCCAGTTTCTCCTAATAAGCACCTGAGAACATTCTGAACTGCCCACAAACTGGCATGTTTATCTGCAGAAAGATGGAAGATTGTCAGACTACCAAACTAGAAATGTGCTGTACATATGTTGCTGCTTTTTGGAAAGGAACCATCTATCTTCCTCACTCTCAGAGAAGAGAAGAATAGCAGCAGGCTTAAGTCCCAGCTAGACATTCAAATCAAGAGTAATAAAGTAAGAAATATACTAAGCTTCATACTGCAAAGAAAACAGCCTGGATAAAAATATATCATTAACCAGCAACAGTAACCTTGTCTTGGCATAGGGGTATGTGCTACGATTCCCTCCTTCAAGCTGCATAATTACCCTTCTACAAAAAATATGGTTTTATTCCAAAGAGTGTAGTAATTGCACAATTCCTACCTATGCAGCTGTGATTCTAGAAGCTATTTAATTCTCCATGTAGCCCAAGAAACCTTCTAAAAATTCCCTAGGAAGAATATCTGACCACTCTTCACTAGCTGCCACAGACTGTCTTACAGAAGGCAGGCTGGCAGAGCAAACATGTGTCTTAAGAATAAGGTCACAAGCACTGTCAGGAATTCAAGTAGATATAGAAGAAGCACCTCAAGCTAGCTGTCTGACAGCTTACCTCTTGGCTCCACCAGCATCTGGTGAAACAATGGTGCAGTTCTTCCACTCCGCAATATTCTCTTTGATCCATTTCAGTACAGCAGGCTCAGCATACAAGTTATCAACAGGGATATCAAAAAAACCCTGCAAGGAAGATGACATGAACAGATATAGCTGAAGGTCACATTCCAAAAACAGTTGGAAGAAGCCTTCTATATGATCAGGCATGCAGCCACCGCCTTTCCACAGATTTCAGCTTTTCTTTCACTTCCTTTAATGCAAGGGCAGTAGCCTTTGGGTTACACAGAATAGTAATGTAAGAAGCCAGAAATAGTTTAGCAGCATAAATAACACTTTACATCTGACACCTTCACAACATGGAACTAGTTCTGTCCTAAAGGGGTGCAGAAAACCAGCATCAAACACGCTTATTTTCAGAGTGGCTAGCTCCCTGTTTACAAAGTCAATCTTTAAAGCTCATTACCTAAAACATTAGCATCTACAGGAAACCTCTGAGTAACATTTGCTTTTAAACTAATGCAGCTGATTCCACAACTTTACACTGACCCAGCAGTTCCTCCAAGTAAACCTCAAAGGTCACTAAAAGCCAGAAGTTAATCCTGGACAGGGAGTAATGGGCAGGAGAGTGGGGGCTGCTACTCTAGGGGAATGCTTCAAGATATATCCTTCCTACTATCACTCCTTCTGTGCTCAGCAACCCAGCAACTACAAGAACCAGGCTGAAACCAGCCAGATGCTGGAAGCTTATATACACAAACCAAATTATTCAATTGAATTTCACCATTGCTGCTGGTGAAAGGTCAACCCTATGGCACACATCACAACTCCAAGCCCCTTAGAGAAGAGGCATAGCACCCCCAGGGTTCTGTTCTTTTATTTCATGATCTCTCTGAGAGTTTTCTCAGCTGTGCACCCATAGATATTTTCCATCTGGGACAAAGTATTTCTGGGCAAATTACACTCAGAAGTGTGAATGGCTGCACTTTCAACTGTTAAAATGACAGCCAGCCCCCACCTGCTTCACCAGGCAGTAGACACCTTCTGGATTCAAAGTGTTTGCAGCACTACAATAGCTATCCTCCCCTCTGCCACACTCCTCTCAGTTGCACTGAGTTAGTTTCTTGGTCTTAGTGCACTTGCTCAAGGTGGAACGAAATCAGACTGATAATTTAACAGCTGGTTGTCCCTCCTCTCCCTGGTATACGCTCTTGCCATGTCTCTTACACAGCTCTGGTCAAGATTTCAATTGCTCTCTGAGACTATTCTGTTCGCTAAGCCAACAAAACCCATGAACAATTTTCAATCCACCAGCAGCTTGGGAGAGAATCAAAGCACACTTATGTGGAAGGCGGGCGCTGAATGGATACAAGCGGGATTGCCCATCTTGACAGCAGCAAGCTATCAGATCGCTGTCCTGGTCAACCGAACCCTCATAGGCAGCTGTGCCCATACACCTGGAGGCAGAGCTAACCTCAGGGCAGCAGTATTACCAGCCACTGCGTCAAACTGAGCACTGCTCACTTCTCCCTGGTAATTCAGTAAATATCAGAAAGCTGTACTCAATATTTAAGAACACTCTTGATAAAACCATTCTCCATCTCAGATTACTCAAAGGACCAGTTAAGAACACACAGTGTAGCAATGAAGTTGCACGATCATTTACTAGCCCAACCTTCATTTACACAGGACTCAATATGTTTAGTCTGATCAAGAACAGCTATACTTTCATTTACAGATGAACCTGTTACACATCTCCCTACCCTCTTCTGACTTATTTTACAAGATCCTTCCAGTCCTACATTCCCAAGTCTTGATCACTGCTGTGTCTGAAAAAAAAAAGCAGATTGCTGGAAAGCCTGCAAGGCAGTAAAGAGGCTCAGACTGGAGCAGGTAAGTACTTCCCTGATTTTAGCTCCTACCTGAATCTGAGATGCATGCAGGTCCATAGTGATTATATGATCTGCACCTGCCACAGACAGCATGTTTGCAACCAGCTTGGCAGAGATTGGAGCTCGACTCTAATACAGGAAAAAACAGTAGTTAAGACAAGTTGTCTTAATGTCAGTCTTCCACTTCCAGGCAATGATTCACAAGCAGTTACTAAAAGAAGTACTCATTAGCATTGCATATTTTCATCAACTGGTGATTACAGCTTGGTGTTTTTTCAAGAAGAACTAGATCTTTATGAAAAGATGAACTGAATTTGCAGTCCGAACCCCTGAGGTTTCAAGAAACTCAGGTAAGTTTTATCTCCTCCTCTCCATATTCAACTTCACCTAATCCCTATCCAGCAGTCAGGACTTTCAAGGCGTGCATTCTTCTTCACAGCAGAAACCTTTACCACATCCCTTACCTTGTCCTTTTTGTCCTGCCGAGCGTAAGGGAAGCAGGGTATGACAGCTGTGACTCTGCTGGCTGAGGCAATCTTACAGGCATTTATCATGATAAGGAGCTCCATCAGATTGTCATTGATTTCACCACAGCCACTCTGCACAATGTAGACATCCTCCCCACGTACACTCTCGCCTATTTCCACACTGGGAACAGATGAGGAAAGGAGAGTTGTATCCAAATACAAATTAAAGCACAGCCATTACATATGCCTGCAAAGCAACCAAGGGATTGCATTCCCAAAGGTCTGTGGCTGACAGTGTCGTATAATCAAAGGTGTTAAGCAGGAATACTGTCATTTATTTGCTCAGTAACTATTTTACATCGCTCACTGATCAAATTTAATGGTTCAGTCACTAAGGCTAAAAGTACTCAGCCTGTACCCTCGATCTCAGTACAAACTGAACATGTAAACACCCCAGAACAGGCCTTGTTCCCTTTGAATCAGGATGACCACCTTAGCTAAAAGCAGCAATAAAGGAAGCAAAGATGATGGCCAGTCAGCAGAGAAAGCCAAGCCAAACTTCCACCAGAAGCCATGCTGCAGCCGGTTATTAGATTTAGAGTCGTAACAGCTATTCAATGGCTCGAACAGAGAAGCCCTCCAGCGTTTCACTTTGGAAAGGCTTTTGGGGTTAATTTCCTCCTGGATGCAATGCACATTAATCTCTGCTGATGAAGGGACTGAATACAAGCCAAAGGTCCTGTTTGCCAGCAGCAACTGCCAGCTTCAGCGCGTGTATCAAGACACCTGCACCAGAGGCAGAGTTGGAAAGAAAGCAGTAGTCTTAGGTTTGAGGTTTCATAGAGGGCAATGCTCCATAAGGCCTTTTGTAGGAACAGATTAACTACTAACTACTTCCAACATTTCAGTTTAGAGAAGCCTGCCACAGATTTGGAAATAACCACAAGCCAATCTACTAAGGACAAAGCTCTTCCACTCTTTCTTTCTTCTTGCACCAGAAATGCTTACCCAACTCTGCAGACTGCTGCCACAAGCTCTAGGAACAAGCAGACAGACAATCACCCAACCCACTCCTAATGGCTTCATTTATAGAGCGCCTTAGGGTAGATCCCTAATTTTAATATTTCATTCTCTGATCTTCTTCCTCTCTTCTTCAACATGTTTTTGATGACCGTTAGGTATTTATAGTCTTTCTGCTCAATATCCATGAGCAAACTGCTCTCATCTTCATTGCATACTGACTTATAGCAT